ACTGAAATATTTCATGTCTTTAATTGTTTTAATACTGATGATTATGGCATACAGCTCATGAAAACCCAAAATGCCTGTCCCAAAAAATTAGCATATTTCATCCCACCAATGAAAGACAAGTGTTTTTAATACAAAAAACACCAACCTTCAAATAATCATGTTCAGTTATGCACTCAATACTTGGTCGGGAATCCTTTTGCATGAATGACTGCTTCAATGCGGCGTGGCATGGAGGCAATCAGCCTGTGGCACTGCTGAGGTGTTATGGAGGCCCAGGATGCTTCGATAGCGGCCTTAAGCTCATCCAGAGTGTTGGGTCTTGTTCTCTCAACTTTCTCTTCACAATATCCCACAGGTTCTCTATGGGGTTCAGGTCAGGAGAGTTGGCAGGCCAATTGAGCACAGTAATACCATGGTCAGTAAACCATTTACCAGTGGTTTTGGCACTGTGAGCAGGTGCCAGGTCGTGATGAAAAATGAAATCTTCATCTCCATAAAGCTTTTCAGCAGATGGAAGCATGAAGTGCTCCAAAATCTCCTGATAGCTAGCTGCATTGACCCTGCCCTTGATAAAACACAGTGGACCAACACCAGCAGATGACATGGCACCCCAGTGACTGTGGAAACTTGACACTGGACCTCAAGCAATGTGAATTCTGTGTCTCCTCTCTTCCTCCAGACTCTGGGACCTTGATTTCCAAAGGAAATGCAAAATTTACTGTAATCAGAGAACATAACTTTGGACCACTCAGCAGCAGTCCCAGGCGAGATGCTTCTGACGCACTCTCTTGTTCAAGAGTGGCTTGACCTGGGGAATGCAGCACCTGTAGCCCATTTCCTGCACACGCCTGTGCACGGTGGCTCTGGATGTTTCTACTCCAGACTCAGTCCACTGCTTCCGCAGGTCCCCCAAGGTCTGGAATCGGCCCTTCTCCACAATCCTCCTCAGGGTCCGGTCACCTCTTCTCGTTGTGCAGCGTTTTCTGCCACACTTTTCCCTTCCCACAGACTTCCCACTGAGGTGCCTTGATACAGCACTCTGGGAACAGCCTATTCGTTCAGCAATTTCTTTCTGTGTCTTACCCTCTTGCTTGAGGGTGTCAATGATGGCCTTCTGGACAGCAGTCAGGTCGGCAGTCTTACCCATGATTGCAGTTTTGAGTAATGAACAAGGCTGGGAGTTTTAAAAGCCTCAGGAATCTTTTGCAGGTGTTTAGAGTTACGTCGTTGATTCAGATGGTTAGGTTAATAGTTGTTTAGAGAACCTTTTCATGATATGCTCATTTTTTGGGACAGGCATTTTGGGTTTTCATGAGCTGTATGCCATAATCATCAGTATTAAAACAATTAAAGACCTGAAATATTTCAGTTGGTGTGCAATGAATCTGAAATATATGAAAGTTTCATTTTTATCATTACATTATGGAAAATAATGACCTTTATCACAATATGCTAATTTTTTGAGAAGGACCTGTATTTCTACAGGAAACGCATCTGCAGAATGCAAATCAGTTCAGGCTCAAATATCCATGGGTTGGAGAGATTTACCACTCGGGCTTCAACTCTAAAAGCTAGAGGAGTAGCCATATTATTTAATAAGAAGGTTCATTTTACAGCATCTAAAATGATGAGGGATACAAATGGCAGATTTCTTATAATTACAGGCTGTCTGTTCCATACCCCTGTTTTATTAGTGAACATTTATGCACCAAACTTTGATGAGAACAGCAGGACATGTATGAGAACAGCAGAACATGTATGAGGACAGCAGGACATGTATGAGAACAGCAGAACATGTATGAGGACAGCAGGACATGCATGAGGACAGCAGGACATGCATGAGGACAGCAGGACATGTATGAGGACAGCAGGACAGTGGTGAGATGTGCTGTAGTGACACATAGCTTCAAGGTGGAGGTGGGAGTGCATCAAGGATCAGCTTTGAGCCCCTTCTTGTTTGCTCTGGTGATGGACCGACTAACAGATGAGGTCAGGCAGGAATCTTCGTGGACGATGATGTTTCCAGATGACATTGTGATCTGTGGTGAGAACAGGTGGAAGAGAACTTGGAGAGGTGGTGATATGAACTTGAAAGAAGAGGAATGAAAGTCAGCCGTAGTAAGACAGAGTCCATGTGTGTGAATGAGAGGGAGGAGGTGGAACAGTGAGGCTACAAGGAGCAGAGATCACAAAGGTGCAGGACTTCAAGGACTTGGGGTCCACTGTCCAGGAACATGGGGAGTGTGGTAAAGAGGTGAAGAAGAGAGTCCAGGCAGGATGGAGTGATGGAGAAAAGTTTCAGCAGTGATTTGTGACAAAAGGGTGTCGGCAAAGGACAAAGGAAAGTTTACAAGACAGTGGTGAGACCAGCTATGTTGTATGGTCTGGAGACAGAGACATGGACAAAAAGACAGGAGACAGAGACATGGACAAAAAGACAGGAGACAGAACTGGAAGTGTCAGAAATGAAGATGTTGAGGTTCTCCATAGGAGAGACAAGGATGGAGAAGATTAGGAATGAGATCATCAGAGGTACAGCACAGGTTGAACAACTGGGAGATAAAGTTAGAGAGGACACACTGAGATGGTTTGGACATGTCCAGAGGAGGGACAGTGGTTTGGACATGTCCAGAGGAGGGACAGTGGTTTGGACATGTCCAGAGGAGGGACAGTGGTTTGGACATGTCCGGAAGAGTGACAATGGTTTGGACATGTCCGGAGGAGGGACAGTGGCTTGGACATGTCCAGAGGAGGGACAGTGGTTTGGACATGTTCAGAGGAGGCACAGTGGCTTGGACATGTCCGGAGGAGGGACAGTGGTTTGGACATGTCCGGAGGAGGGACAGTGGTTTGGACATGTCCGGAGGAGGGACAGTGGCTTGGACATGTCCGGAGGA